TAATACATTGTCTTTTTGCCACTTCTAGCATGTCATGATATGAACAAGAGACTCTGAAATAAGAAGAAATGCAGACACAATAATAAATTTCACACAACACAATGACTTAAAAAATATTGGCACATGGATTATGACAAATAAATATCCATTGGTAGCTGAAAGAGGCTAGCAGACCTCTGTGAATCTCAGAAGTCTTAAATGATCTGAATGAGAACCTTGGGGAAAAGCAAGTTTCTGAAACATTGATGTACCTGTGACTATTTTCAGTGTGCAGTGACAGCAAGGAGCAGAACTGGTAGGATTTGTGAGCCAGAGGACCTTTAGGCTCAGCAACCATAAGTGGAAGCTCCTTGCTTCTTTAGCAATTCCTCTAATGCCTACATTAAGAGTGGTGGGACATAATTTAGATTTATCTCTGTCTCAGGTGTCAAGCTGTTCTCTAATAATGATGATGATGATGATGATGATGATGATGATGATGATGATGTCTCATTGATTTTATGTGAATTGAATTTTTAAAAGTTAAATTAACTATTAATAACCAAACAAAAACATATCTTTCCGTGTCTGAGTATCCTTGTTTCCACCAAAACTTCATCAGCAGCTAAAATCTGAGAAAGCAAAAGGGAGCGCAAGGCTCATTTGGTCTTTCTGATCCATCCATGCACTTTGAAGATACAGGCCATTCCTACAATGGCAAGGCATTTGAAAGAGTGAATGCTAATTATTTTTTGGTATTTTTTAAATTTATTCTTTCTAATTATACATGACAGTAGAATGTATTTTTTTATTTGTTCTAATTAGTTCTCCATGAAAGCAGAATGCATTTTGATTCATTGTAAACAAACGGAGCACCACTTTTCATTCCTCTTTCTGTACACAATGCAGAATCACACCACACATGCAGTCATACATGTACCTAGGGCAATGATGTTCATCTCATTCTACCATCGCTCCTGCCCCCATGCCTCCTCCCCTTTTCTCCCTCCCCTTTACCCCCATTCCCCCATTCTTCCCACAACTGCACCCCGCCCCATTGTGGATCAGCCTCCACTTATCAGAGAGAACATTTGGCCTGGGTCAAATGGCGGTTCCGTTCAAAGTTTTCTGAGGAATCTCCATACTGCTTTCCAGAGTGGTTGCACCAATTTCCAGTCCAACCAGTGATGTATGAGAGGACCTTTTCCCCTACATCTTCACCAACATTTATTGTTGCTTGTATTCTTTTAAAAATTTTTGTTCTAATTAGTTATATATGACAGTAGAATGTACTTTGATATATCATACATAAATGGAGTGTAACGTCTCATTCTTTTGGTTGTACATGATATAGAATTGCACCAGTTTTGTAGTTATATATGCACGTAGGATAATAATGTTCAATTCATTCTACTGTCCTTTTTACCTCCATACCCCCTCCTCTCCCTTTCCTCTCCTCTACCTAATTCAAAATAAGTTTTCTTTTCTAGCATCCCCTACCTTATTTTGAATTATCATCCACATATCAGAGGGAACATTCTGCCTTTGTTTTTTTTTTGTTGTTGTTGTTGTTGTTGTTTTGAGTGGGGGGGGGTGGCTTATTTCACTTAGCATGATATTGTCCAGTTCCATCCATGTACGGGCAAATGACATCATTTCATTTTTACTTATGGCTGGGTAATCTTCCATTGTATAAATGTACCACATTTTCTTCATCCATTTATTTGTTGAAACCAGCTAGTTGGTTCCACAGCTTAGCCCTTGTGAATTGAGCTGCTATAATCAATGATGTGGCTGTGTCACTGCAATATGATGTTTTTAAGTCCTTTGGGTATAAACTGAGGAGAGGAAGAGCTACCTCAAATGTGGTTCCATTCAGAGGTTTTTGAGAAAACTCCATACCACTTTCTATAATGGTTGCACCAATTTGCAGTCCCACCAGCAATGTATGAGTGTACTTTCCCCCCCACATCCTTGCCAACATTTATTGTTGCTTGTGTTCTTGATAATTGCCTTTCTGACTGGAGTGAGATGAAACCTTAAGATTTAAGGTTCTGATTTGCATTTCTTTAATTGCTAGAGATGTTGAACACTTTTTCATATAGTTGTCAATCAATTGTATTTTTTCTTCTGTTAAAAGAATGAAAAGAAATTGTATAGTTCCTTAGCCCATTTATTGATTGGGTAATTTGGTTATTTTGGTGTTAAGATTTTTTAATCCTTTACATATCCTAGAGATTAATGCTTTATCTGAGGTTCATGCAGTGAAGATTTTCTCCCATTCAGTAGGCTCTTGTTTAACATTCTTGTTTTCTTTGCAGTGAAGAAGTTTTTTTAGTTTGATATCATTCTATTTATTGATTCTTAATTTTACTTCTTGCACTTTTGGAGTCTTGTTGAGGAATGGTTCTTAAGCCAATATGATGGAGATGTGGACCCATTTTTAATTATAGTGGATACCCAGGTCCTTGATGCACTTTGCATTGGATTTTGTGCAAGGTGAGAGATAAGGGTATGATTTCAAATTATTATGTATGTATTTCCAGTTTTCCCAGCACCATTTGCTACAGAGGCTATCTTTTCTCCAGTGTATATTTATGGCACCATTGTCTAGTATGAGATAACATGAATTTATGTGGATTCGTCTCTGTGTCTTCTCTTCTATACCACTAGTTTTATGTCTATTTTGGTGCCAGTACTATGCCATTTTTGTTACTATATCTCTGTAGTTTAATTTAAGGTCTGGTATTGTGCTGCCTCCTGCTTCATTTTTCTTACTAAGGATTGCTTTTGGCTATTTTAGGTCTCTTATTTTTTCAAATGAATTTCATACTGCTTTTTCAATTTGTATGAAAAATGTCATCAGAATCTTAATAGGAATTACATTAAAAATGTATAGCATTTTTGGTAGCATGGCCATTTTGACAATATTAATGCTGCATATCCAAGAATATGGAAGATCTTTCCATCTTCTAAGGTCTTCTTAAATTTCTGTCTTTAGAGTTCTTTAGTTTTTATTATACAGGTCTTTCACAGCTTATGTTAGATTGATTCCCAAATATTTCATATTTTGAGGCTATAATGAATGGCATAGGTTTTCTAATTTCTCTTTTAGTTGATTCATCACTGCTGTATTTGAACACAACTGATTTATTGATATAATTTTATATCCTGCTAATTTGCTGAGTTCTAGAGATTTTCTAGTGGAGCATTTTGGGTCTTATAAATATAGAATCGTGTCATCAGCAAATAGAGATTGTTGCAGTTCTTCTTTTTTATTTGTATCCCTTTAATTTCTTTCTTCCATTTAATTGTTATGGCTAGTGTTTCCCAGGACTATGTTGAATAGAAGTGGTGAAAGAGGTCATCCCTGTCTTATTCATGGTTTTAGAAGGAATGCTTTCAATTTTTCTCCATTTAGAATGATGTTGGCCTTGGGTTTACTGTATATAGCTTTTACAATGTTGAAGTATGTCCCCAATATCCCTAGTTTTTCTAGTGTTTTGAACATGAATGGATGCTGTATTTTGTCAAATGTTTTTTTCTGCATCTATTGTGATAAACATGTGATCTATGTCTTTAAGTCTATTGAGGAGATGAATTATGTTTATCGATATCCATATATTTAACCAACCTTGCTTCTCTGGAATGAACCCCACTTGATCATGAAACACTATCATTTTAATATGTTCCTGTATACAGTTTGTAAGGATTTTATTAAGAATCCTTCATCTATGATCATTAGGGATATTGGTTTGAAACTTTCTTTCCTGATGTATCTTTTTCCAGTTTTGGCATTGGTGTGATACTAGCTTCATAGGATGAGTTTGGAAGCGTGTCCTCCTTTTCTATTTCATGGAATAATTTGATAACTATTGGGTTTGTTATTTTTTGTTTGTTTGTTTGTTGTTTTTTTTTTTTTTTTTTTTTGGTTCTTCTTTGTAGGTCTGGTATAACCTGACTGAAAATCTATCTGGTCCTGGGCTCTTTGTTCTTGGTAGACTTTTGATGTCATTTTAAATTTCATTGCTTGAAATTGGTCTGATTAATTTTTCTATGTCTTCCTGATTCCGTTTGGGCAGGTCATTTGTCTCTAGAAATTTGTTGATGTCGTCAAGATTTGCTATTTTATTAGCATATAAATTTGCAAAATAGTTTATGATTATCAACTACATTTCAGTAGTGTCCATTGTGATATTTACTTTTTCACTGTGAACTTTTGTAATTTGAGTTTTCTCTGTCATTCTCTTCATTAGTTTTGCTAAGGGTTTATCAATTCTCTTTAGGATTCAAAGAACAAACTTTTATTTTGTCAATGTTTGGATTGTTTCTTTTGTTTTATTTTCATTGATTTCATCTCTAGTTTTAATTTATTTCCTGTCTTCTACTGCTTTGGGTGTTGATTTGTTCTTCTTTTGAAAGCATGAATGTGATAGCTATTATGGTAAGGGGTGAGGATAGAGCACCCAACTTACCTTAGAGGGCTTTACACCTGTAATCATAACCTTCCTTATGGATGAAAAAACACAGGACACAAATGTTGAACTATAAACAACAATTTAACTAGAAGAAAAATGAGAAAAGGAAGGAAGAAAGGAATGAAGAAAGGAAAATCTCATCTTCCATTAAAGGATGGAAACAACAAAAAATATATAAAAATGAAATACCTACTTTCATAATTTATATGGTACTATATAATCATATCATAAGTATTCAATTAACTCTATGTAGAATTATACATGGCATTAAAAATGCAACAAGAATTTCATTTTAAAGGCCCATAAACAGATCATGGAATCCTGACACAGGAAGAAAATCATCTCAGTTATGAGGCTTGTTTTTGCAATAATTCAAGATATTTATGACATTGTCTGTGGCATATTAGTGAGATAATATGACTATGCAATGCCTGTGGTTTTCCCCACCCAACACCAAGGGTGTATAAAAGGCCACTGGCAGTGATATCCAGACTCAAGACACCTACATCCTGATCCTGAACTGAACACTCCAAGCCTGACATCATGAGCTGCTACTATGGCAACTACTATGGTGGGCTGGGCTATGGCTATGGTGGCCTAGGCTGTGGCTATGGCTGTGGCTATGGCTGCTATGGCTATGGTGGCCTAGGCTGTGGCTATGGTGGCTATGGTGGCTATAGTTATGGATGCTGCCGTCCACTCTGCTACAGAAGATACTATTCCTATGGCTTCTACTGAGGCATTTTCTCAGCTGCTGAGCCTACTGGCTGTCATGTACTGTCTTACTGGAATCATCTCCAACTTTCTTCACATGAAAAATGTTAAATGTCTTCAACATACCAACTATACACCAAAGTGTCTAAAATAAATGAATGAGATCAGCTACCAGTTTTGATTCACCTTATTTCTTCATGGTGTAATAGTTTGAAGAAATGTTTTTTTTCTTTGATCACTATAACATTATGTAAAATGTGATCAAATTTGAATGTCAACTTCTGTTTTAAAAGTCCATATTATTAAATAAACTATTTCATAAGAAATATGACACTGTTGCAATTGTTTTTATTTCCCTATCATTATAAAATGTGATTTGTGTATTTGGATGTGATTTGTGATGTGAGTGGTGTTTTTTTATAGAAATGGGAGAGAAAGAAGGAGTATGCCATAATTATTTTGGAGTCGTATGTGGTCCAATAATTAACAGTACAAAAATAATTATGTCTAAGTGATCATACAAAATCTGTTTTTACACATGTTTTTTCATATCTCCTAAAATGATCCTTTGTTTATAAGTTTTTTAAATGGTATTTAATACAATGATGGATGTAATAACATAAGATTATTTGAAACTTTTTGCATTTAATGTTTTGTGTCATTTACACCACTACTGGTTGGATTTTATCATCTACAGTTCTGCTTCTGTAAAAAGTACCTCAAATTAATGGTGTGTGTGTGTATGTGTGTGTGTGTGTGTGTGCTTGTAAGTACAGTTAAGGATAGATATATGTATGTAAATAAGTCTATATAAATATCTCTATCTATACATCAATATTTATCTCTGTATTTATTTCTATACCCATATCTTTAACTGTATCTACATCTCCCCTCTAAACAATGACTAGGGAATCAATTTAAAAATGTGTACATTAATAAAGATATTATGGATTATCATCATGGCAACTAAATTGTTTTTCAAAATATATAAATCTATTCTCTTTATAAGATATTAGCTACTGTATATCAAGATAAATTTATCAAAAACACGAGCTATTTTCTAAGTATCAAATTAGCATTAGGTTATTTTCTTTTTCACCCCAAAATCTGGTCTTCATCAAATATATATGACTTCACAGTATAATTACTCTCCGGAATCAAATTCTTTTCATTTCTTAAGTTAGTTATGCTTCACTTGGAAAACAGACTGACAGCATTAAGTACAAGAAAATGCTGATGGAAAAAGTAAAAAAAAAAAAAAAAGTTGTGAATATTCTGAAGATGCAGAAAATGGGTGAAGGGGTGAAAATGAAAGTTCTAGAAACCAGTCGAGGTGGTACTGGGACAAAGTGTAACCAGCTAAATTCTGAGTCTACTTTTAATATTTCAGGGCTGGTAAACCATAGTTGGTGACATAAAAAGACACAATCTGACAAGAATGCAGTGGGAGAATACTGACTAAAACAGAGCCAGGTTTCTCCTTGACATATTTTAGAAACTGGAAGTCACAGGGGTCCCTTTCCTAAGACACAAAGCAGAATCATTACAAATGAGATCTAAAAAATATAGAGAACTGTGTTCATATCAACATGATGAAAAAATCATCAGTAGAATTAAAAAAGAATATCCTTAACAGAGGAGACAAATGAGCATTCACTACAGACTAGACCAATTGAGGTAAGTGGATCTTAAAATTTAGAGCCTTACTTTTCACATTAATCCTTGTTTGAATTGGGCCAGTGAGACCATTTCTTTATTTTTCTTTTCTTTCCTTTCCTTTTTTTTTTTTTTTTTGAGAGAGAGAGAGAGAAAGAGAGAGAGAGAATTTTTAATATTTATTTTCAAGTTTTCAGCGGACAAAACATCTTTAATTGTATGCGGTGCTGAGGATGGAACCCAGCGCCCCACGCTACCGCTTGAGCCACATCCCCAGCCCCAGACCATTTCTAATAGTCCAAAGGTAATGACTGCAGGTTGAACTTATGGACTTCCTTGGGAATTTTCAAAAAAGGCAACAGATAAAATCAACCACATATCAGAATTTGTAGTAAAATAGGAGAAATGAATCCAATAATCAAACTAAATTTCTAGTTCTATTTTTAAAAAGCAAATAAATGATATGAGAATTTATTTAACAAATTTAGCTTCAGAAAAGAAATGTAATATGCACAATAATTAATACATTAATCCTGCTTAAAAAGTTAAATTTATTATAACCCCCCCCCAAAAAGACAAGATGCTTTCTATTTTGTTGTTGTTGTTTATTTGTATTTGCAACACACAACACAATGACTTAAAAATTTTCAGCACATGGTCTATGACAAAAAAATGTCATTGGGTAGCTGAAAAAGGCTACCAGACACCCATGAATTTCTCTCCAAAGTCGCATATGTTCTAAACAAGAATCCTGGACAAAAGAAGGCTTTCATCATGTCTATGTACCTGTGATTATTTTAGTATTCACTGATAGCAAGGAGCAGAAATGTCAGGATATCTCCAGTCAGCATTGGGTTCAGCTACTAAAGAATCAAATGGAAGCTCCTTCCTTCTTTACCAATTCCTCCAATGCGTGCATAAAGTGTAGTGGGACATAATTTAGATTTATCTCTGTCTCAGGTGTTGAGCTATCCTCTTCTAATAGGTCTTGTTGATTTTATGTGAATGAAATTTTAATGAGTTTAATTAACTATGAATAACCAAACAACAAAAAAATAACTTTTCAAGTCTGAGTATCCCTGTTTCCACCAATTCTTTATCATCAACTCAAAATTGAGGAAGCAAAGAAGGAGTGCATGGCTCATTTGGTCCCTCTGATCTATCCATGCACATTTTTGAGGGGTGGGGTAGCAGGGATTGAACTAAGGTCACTCAACCACTGAACCACAACCCCAGCCCTGAGCGATGCCATTCCTGCACCTGCAAGGCATTGGAAAGAGTGAATGTGATAGTTACTATAAAAAAGTAAGAGCTGAGGGTGGAGCACCCAAATTTATCTTACAGTGTTTTAGATTTGCATCTATAAAATTCATTTGGGATGAAAAAGGGAACCATGGAGAAAATGTGGTTTATAACTGAAAAAATGAACATGTGTTTTATGCAAAGTTTGAAATATAAATTAAAGATAATTCCAAAATTGAAAAGAAAGAGAAGAGAGGAAAAGAAGGAGGGAAGGAAGGAAGACTTTATTATATTAAAGAATGGAAACAATACAAAACAAAAATTAAAGTGAAATACCTATTTTCATAGCTTATATGGCCTATGTAATCATATCATGGGTGTTCAATTTACAATATGTAGAATGATAGTTGACATTCAAAACAGAACAGGAATCTCAAAGATCCATGAACGCTTCAGGGAATCCTGACATAGGAACAAAATTATCTCAGTTATGAGACTTGTTTTACAATAAATAAAGATATTCATGACATTGTAGAGGCACATGAGTAAGATAACATGACCATGCACTGTCTGTCGTTTTCCCCACCCAGCACCCATGGTATATAAAAGGCAGGTGGCAGACAGTGACATCCAGACTTAAAACACCTACATCCTGATCCTGAATTAAACGTTCCACTCCTGACAGCATGAGCTGCTACTATGGAAACTACTATGGTGGCCTAGGCTGTGGCTATGGTGGCTATGGCTGTGGCTATGGCTATGGTGGCTATGGTGGCTATGGTTATGGATGCTGCCGCCCACTCTGCTACAGAAGATACTATTCCTATGGCTTCTACTGAGGCATTCCCTTAGCTGCTGAGCCTATTGGCTATCACGTTCTGTCTTACTGGAATCATCTCCAACTTTCTTCATATGAAAAATGTTAAATGTCTTCAACAGTATCAACTATACACCAAAGTGTCTGATAAAAATGAATGAAATCAGCTACCTGTTTTGATTCATTCTTATCTCTTTTGTGTTGGATTGAATGATAGTTTGGAGAAATGGTTTTTTTTTATACTTATAAAACTGCATAAAATGTGGTTGAATTTGACTGTCAACTTCTTTGTAAACACACTTATTATTAAATAAACTGTATTTCATTGAAAATATTGTTACAATTGTTTTCATTTGTCCCCATCAGTGAAGCATGTTCATTTGTCCCCATCAGTGAAGCATTTCCATTTTTATATTTGGATGTGATTAATCATGTGTGGGGGTTTTATAGAAATGGGAGAGAAAGAGTATGCCTGAACTCTTCTGTCATCATTAGGAATCCCAAAATTAATGGTATAAATAAGGCTTTTCTAAGAAATCATACAAAATCTCTTTTTATGTTAGAGTCTGTAAACAAGTCAAGATGGCGCCTGGCATTTTGCAGAGGGAGTGGTTTGTAAAGTAACCCCAGCAGAGCCATTAAGTGTGGAGATTCCTTATTGGTTGACTGATGTATCTAGTTTATGTTAATTAAGATAAGCTGTGTGGAATGTATAAATACCTCTGTTGTCCTACAATAAACGGCTCCCACTCCAGCTGTATCAATCTACACAAGTTGCTCATCACCCCCAGGTTATTTTGTTGCAGCCTGACTGCAGCATTTTTATATATGTCTTTTTATAACTCCTAAAATTACTCTTCTTAGTAAAGTTTTTTGGATGGCTTTTTTTTAATACAATAGTGTATGTATACAACATGAGATCATTTTAAAATCTTTCTTTTTGATGTTTCATTTCACTTGCACCACCAGTGGTTGTAATATATCATCTATACCTCTGTCTCTGTGAAAGTATCTCAAATTAATTGTTTACATGTTTGTATTGAGAGATAAATATGTATAGGAATACATAAATTTCTCCATATAGATATGTATATGTATATATGTAGACATCTATATCTATCTCTATATTGATATTGATATCTATGTTTATATATGTATCTATATCTCCTCCCTAAAAAATGACTGAAAACTTTATCTTATTGAAAATATGTGCACTAATAATGGCATTATGGACTATCACCATGACAACTAAATAGTATTTCAAAACATGTAAACTTATTTTGGTATTTAGGAAAAATTAGCAAGTACGTATAGCAAGATAATTTATCAAAACCATGAGCTACTTTTCAAGTATCAAATTAGCATTAGGGTATTTTATTTTTCATCTCAAAATCTGGTCTTATCCAATGTACACACCTACATAGGCTAATTTACTTTGTAATCAAATTCTTTGCACTCTTAAAGTGGTTATGTTTCACCTGGGAAACAAGCTGACAGCATTAAATGGAACGGCTGGTGGGGAAAGTAAGAAATAATGGGGTGAATATACTGAAGACAGAGAAATTTGGTGAAGGTGAGAAGTTGGCAGGCCTAGGAGGCAGGCAAGATGGTGCCATGACAGAGAGTAGCAGAATTCAACGTTCACTTTTAATTTTTCAAGCCTGGCAAACCATATTTTGAGGCATATAAAGACACAATCTGACAGAATGTGCTGGGAAAATACTAACTAGAGCCAGGTTTCTCCTTGAGATATTTTAGAAATTGGAAGTCACAGGGCTCCATTTCCTAAGACACAAAACCGAATCATTTCAAATGAGATTGAAAAATAATAAAAACTGTGTTTGTATCAAGATAATGATAAAATCATCACTAGAAGATTAAAATGCTTAACAGAAGGATACAAAAGGCATCCTTTATAAACAAGACCAAAAGAAGTGGACCCTAACCAAAATTTAGAGCCTAATTTTGCATCAGTCCTTGTTTGAATTGGGCCAGTCACAAATTTTCTAATAGTCCAAGAGCAATACCAGTAACAACAACACTAGTTTATATGGTAAAATATAGTATTGCTCTGGATCCTCTAAAATTTTCATAGAAAATGTTGAATTTATGGACTCCCTTGGAAATATGCAAAAGAGGCAAGAGATAACATCAGCCACAACTGGAACTTGTACCAAAACTGGAAAAATGAACCAATCATCAAATTAAAACTGTAGTTTTTTTTAAAAAAAGAAAATTAATAATATAGTAAATTATTTAACAAATTTTCCTTAAGAAAAGGAATGTAATATGCCTATTACTAAATTCATCAATCCTGCTTAAGAAACTTGATTTATTGGTCAGTTTCAAAAAATAAAATATTTGCTATCTTCTTTTTGGCAATGCACAATACAATTACTTAAAATTTATTGGCATATGGTTTATGAAAAATAAATATCAATTAGTAGGTGAAAGACACAAGCAGATCTATGTGAATTTCTCTCAGAAGTCTAAAATTATCTGTACGAGAGCCTTGGAAAAAGCAGGTTTTCATCATGTGTATGTACCTGTGACTCTTTTCAGTGTTCAGTGACAGCAAGGAGAAGAGCTGGTGAAAGTTGTGAGTCAGAGGACTTTTGGCTTCAGCAAAAGTAAAATCAGACTGGAGTCTCCTTCCTTTCTTACTAATAACTCCATTGTCTGCACCAGTATTTAACCATCAGCTAAAATTTGAAGAAGCAAAGAAGGAGCTCATAGTTCATTTGGTCCCTCTGTTCTATCCATGCACTTTTACAGAAACTGATATTCCTGCATCTGCATGGCATTTTAAAGAGTAAATGTGACAGCTATTAAAAAACATGAAGAATTGAGAATATAGCATCCAACTTACCTTAGGGTACTTTAGCATTTGTAACATTCGTGGTGAATGAAAAAGGGAATCATGGAGAAAATGTGGTTTCTAACTAAAATATGGACATGTGTTTTTTGAAAGTTGGAAATATAAATTAAGAATAAGTTCACAAGAAAAAAAAATGAAAAGAAAGTTGGAAGAAAGGATGGAAGGAAGGAAATTCTTCTATTAAGAATGGATGAAACAAAACAATAATCTAAGTGAAATACCTACTTTCATAATTTACACAGTACTACATAATCATATCATGGGCACTCAATTAATTATACACAAAAGAAACAAGGCATTCAAAATAGACCAAGAATTTCATTTTAAAGGCCCATAAATGAATTGCAGAATCCTGACATAGGAGCAAAATTATCTCAGTTATGAGGCTTGTTTTGCAATAAGTCAACATATTCATGATGTTGTCTGAGGCACATGAGTGAGATAATGTGACCATGCATTGCCTGTGGTTTTCCCCACCCAGCACCCATGACATATAAAAGGCAGGTTAGAGACAGTGACATCCAGACTCAAGACACCTACATCCTGATCCTGAACTGAACACTCCACTCCTGACAGCATGAGCTGCTACTATAGCAACTACTATGGTGGTCTGGGCTATGGCTGTGGCTATGGTGGCCTAGGCTATGGCTATGGTGGCTGTGGTGGCTATGGTTATGGATGCTGCCGCCCACTCTGCTACAGAAGATACTATTCCTATGGCTTCTACTGAGGCATTTCCTCAACTGCTGAGCCTATTGGCTGTCACATCCTTTCATACAGGAATCATCTCCAACTTTCTTCACATGAAAAATGTTGAATGTCTTCAAAAATACCAACTCCAAACTCTCTGAGAAAAATGAATGAAATCAGCACGCCTGTTTTAATTCATACTTAACCTTTGATTGTGTAATTGTTAGAGAAACGTTTTCATTTAATAATTACCTTTATAACACTATGTAAATTGTGATCAGATTAGAATCTCAATATGTAAAAAATAGATATTCTGAAATAAATTAAATTTCACTGGAAACATTGCTGTCTTACAATTCTATTGAAATATGTCCATTTGTGTGTGTGTGTGTGTGTTTATTTGTACACGTGCTTGTGATTAGTCTTATGTGTTGTTCATAGAAATGCTAGACAGAGAAACAGAGAGTGAAGGAGAATCTTAGAGTTACTTTGTGATCATTAGGAATTTAAAATAATATACAAATATTCAGTCTTTCAGGAATCATAAAAAAATATGTTTTATTTTTGTCTTTTCATATCCTCTAAAATTACCCTTTGATTGCAAACTCTTTAAAATGGGTATAATATACAATAATGTTTTTATACAACATGAGATCATTTAAAAATCTTTGTATTTACAGATTTGTTTCATTTGCACCATCAGTGGTGAGAATATATCATCTATAGCTCAGTCTCAGTGAAAGTATCTCAAATTAAATGTGTGTATACAATGACACATAAATGTTTAGGTGTGTGTATTTATATGCATAGATATGTGTATATAAATATGTATACATAAGTATATATGAACATCTATCTTTATCAATATCTTGATATCTATATCTTCATTTGTAACTACAGCTCCTCCCTAAAAAATAACTGCAGACTTTATCATATTGAAAATGTGTGCAATAAAATGACATAATGTATCATAATGTATTATCATCATGGCAACTCAATACTATTTCAAAATAAATAATTTCAAAATAAATAATAATTTCTTCTCTTTAGGAAAAATTGGGTACCGTGAATAGTAAGATAAATTTATCAAACCATGAGTTGTTTTCTCAGTATCAAATTAGCAGTAGGTTATTTTCATTTTTATTCCAAAGTTGAGTGAGTCTTCATCAAATGAACATGACTCCATATGCTAATTTTCTTCAGAATCAAATTATTTGCACACTTAAAGCCGTTATGTTTCAATTGGGAAACAAACTGACGGCAATAAGTGCAAAGAAATACTAGTGGGGAAAATAAGGAGTAAGGGGAGAACATTCTAAGGATGGAGAATGTGAGTGAAGTGGTGAAATTGGCCATTCTAGGAGCCAGGCAGGATGGTATGGTGACACAGAGTGACCAACAGAATTTTGAGTCCATTAATTTTTCAGGACTGGCAAACCAGACTTAGAAACATACAAAGACACAGTCTGACAAGAATGTGCTTGGAGAATACTGACCTTATCAGAGCCTAGTTTGTCTTTGCGATATTGTAGAAATTGGAAGTCACAGGGGTCCATTTCCTAAGACACAAAGCAGAATCACTTCAAATGAGATTAATAAATAATGAAAACGGTGTTCCTATCAAGGTGATGAGAAAATCATCACTAGAATTAAGAAGAACCATCTTTATCAGAGGAGACAAAAGAGCATCCACTGCAGTCTAGACCAAAAGAGGTAAATGGACCCTAACCTATATTCAGAGCTTAATTTTGCATTAATCCTTGTTTTAATTGGATCACTCAGACATTTTCTAACAGTTCAAGAGCAGCGGCAACAATACAATTCTCTAAGGTGAAATATAATATTGTTCTGAATCTTCTAGGATTTTAATAGACAAGGTTAAACTCATGGACTCCCATGGAAATACGCACAAAAAGCAACAGATAACAAAAGCCACATACTGAAGCTTGTACTAAACTTGTAGAAATGAACCAAGAATTAAATTAAAATTCTAGTTTGCTTTTTAAAAGGCAAATGAATGAAACAGTAAATTATTTAACAAATTTAGCTTCAGAGATGCAATGTAATGTAACTAATACTAAATATACTAAATCTACTGAAGAAACATGATTTATAGTCCAATTTCAAAAAGAAGAAAACTTGCTATCTTGTTTTTTGTAACACATAATACAATGAGTAAAAGTATTATTGGCACATTGTCAATGAAAAATAAAGTCAATGGGGAGCTGAAAGAAGCTAGCAGACCTATGAATTTCTCTCAGAAGTCACAAATTATTTGAATGAGAACCTGAGTATGAGGGAAAGCAAGTTTTTGACATATATATGCACCTGTGAAAATGTTCAGGGTGCAGTGACAGCAAGGACCAGAAGTGGCAGAATTTGTGAGTCAGAGGACTTTTGGTTTCAGCAAATATAAAATCAGAGTGGAAGCTCCTTCCTCCTTCCCAATTCTCCAACGTCTGTAGTAAGAATGATGGAACATAATTTAGTCTTTTCTATGTCTCAGATGTTGATCTATCCTCTTATAACAGGTCTAATTTATTTTATGTAAATTGAACTTTATGGAATAATTAACTATTGATATTCAAGCAAAAATATCTTTGTACGAGTGAGTATCCTGTTTCCACCAATACTTCATCATAAGCTAAAAATTGAGGAAGCAAATACAGAGTGCATGGCCCATTGGGTCCCTGTGTTTTGTCCATGCACTTTTTTAAAGATATTTTTTAGATTGTTGATGGACTTTTATTTTATTAATTTATTTATATGTGGTGCTGAGAATTGAACCCAGTGCATCAAACATGCGAAGCAAGCTCTCTACCACTGAGCCACAACTCCAGCCCTATCCACACACTTTTTAAAAGACATGCCAATCCTGTACCTCCATGGTATTTCAAAGAATGAATGTGACACTTATTACAAAACACTAAAAGTCGAGGGTGGAGCACCAAATTTTACTTTTCAGTGCTTTACTCTTGTATCTATTATCATCATTTGGGATTAAAAAGGGAACCATGGAGCAAATGTGGTTGGAAAATTAACATGTGTTTTCTGGAAAGCTTTAAATATAAATTAAGGATAATTTCAAAGAAGAAGAGAAAATAAGGAGAAGAGAGGAAGCGAAGGAAGGAAGAAAGGAAGGTAGGCAGGGAGGAAGGAAGGAAGGAAAATCACATCTTCTATTTAAGAATGGAAACAAAACAAAACAAAAATAAAATTGAAATACCTGTTTTCATAACTTACATGGTCCTATATAATCATATCATAGGCATTCGCTTAACTATATATACAACAATACTTGGCATTCAAAATAGAACAGGAATTTCATCTTAAAAATCCATGAATAGATCATGGAATCCTGACATAAGAACAAAATTATCTCAGTTATGAGGCTTGTTTTTGCAATAAATCAAGATACCCATGACGTTGTCTGAGGCACATGAGTGAGATAATGTGACCATGCACTGTCTGTGGTTTTCCCCACCAAGCACCCATCTCATATAAAAGGCAGGTGGCAGACAGTGACATCCAGATTCAAGACACCTGCATCCTGATCCTGAACTGAACACTCCACTCCTGACAGCATGAGCTGCTACTATGGCAACTACTATGGAGGGCTGGGCTATGGCTATGGTGGCCTAGGCTGTGGCTATGGCTGTGGCTATGGTGGCTATGGCTGTGGCTATGGTGGCTATGGCTATGGTGGCCTAGGCTATGGCTATGGTGGCTATGGTTATGGATGCTGCCGCCCACTCTGCTACAGAAGATATTATTCCTATGGCTTCTACTGAGGCATTTCCTTAGCTGCTGAGCCTACTGGCTGTCCCGTCCTTTCTTACAGGATTCATCTGCAACTTTCTTCATGTGAAAAATGTTAAATGCTTTCAACATACCAACTAAACATCAAAGTGTCTGAGGAAAATGAATGAAATGAAATCAACTACCTGATTCATCCTTATCTCTTGAATTGTGTGATTGGAGAAATGTTTATTCTTGATAATTACACAGTGTGTGTAAGGTGATGAAATTTTTCAACTTCTATGTTAAATGTCCTTATATTAAATAAAGTGTTGCATTGGAAATATTACATTGATACAATTGTTTTTATTTGTCTCCATCAGTGAAGCATATCCATTTGTGCATTTGGATGTGATTAATCAGGTGCAGGGGTTTAATGGAAATATGAGAGAGAAAAAAAGTATTACATACCTTTTCTGTGGTCAGTAGAGATCCAAAATTTAATATTGCATGAGTATTAATTCTAAAAGATCATGCACAATCTGTT